AAATGTATTCATGCTCTGCTATGTCCACTGTTGGCTTGGAAAAGGATGAGTTCTCTTTATCTTTTACCAAATGAGGACCTCGATTTCTGAAATACTGGTAATGTAAAAAAGAGTTCTGGCTTGAACTTGAGAAGCTGATTTTGTCTAACCTTATGAAATCTCTTGAGAATACTTAAAGGTGATTCAGCGAAGAGGAAGTGAACTGATCTTCCCTCTCTTAAGTGATCCACCAAGGAGAGGAAGGGAATCCAGAACTTTCAGGAGCAAAGTCATATGTTAGAAAGGTGTCCATCATATATTCATTCAATAGACACCTACTGAACACTGAGCTCATGAGTTAGGAGGTGGGGACCCCACCTTGAATCAGAGAGCAGTCCCACTCTCAACGAGCTGATGGCTGGCCTAACTGAGGAGACAAATATTAAGTGACTATACAAACAATTATAAAATCCTAAGTATCATAAGTGCAGTGAAGGTGACATGGGCAGTTTTAGGTCTGTCTAGTAGGTCAGGAAGGGCTTCCCCAGAAAAGGGACATTCGTTGTAGAATATGAAAGATAAGTTGGAGAGATGCTGAGCAGCACTGAGAGATCCATGGCTTCCACCCTTCGGTGCTCACTAGTATCATTCAGTGAAACAGAAAACACCAGCAGACAGGAAGGCCTGGTGTGGGTAGATAGGGAAAAGAACAAGTTCTGTTTGGGACTTTACTGTGAGGTTCATTTGAGCCAGAGAAGAGTGAATATCAAATATAGAATTGGATATTACTAGATATACCAAGGACAATATGCAGACAAAAGCGTGGAAATGTGAGGAGTGGTCTGGCTCAAGGGACATGTTTGCGAGTCACCACCATGCTGTGCGGTAACCGAAGCCCTGGGTGCGCACGAGTTCTTCTGAGGACAGAGTGCAGATGGTGCAGAGAAGGGGGCCTGGGGGCCACCTTGAGGAGCTCTAACATTCCAACTGTATGTAAAGAAGGATGAGTTTGCCAAGAAAGCAGAGACATTTCCTGATCAGCAGGAGGAAAAGCAGGAGACAGTGCATTGAATGAAGTTGAGGGAGGATTCTTTGGACTATTGGTGTGACATTTTTGTAAGTCTAAAATTATTTCAAAACAAACAGTAAAAATCAGTTTATTAGGGCTTATTAGGATGGAGGAGGGCCCATCTTCTCCATGGTGGATAACTGCCCCCCATCAATAGGGACCTTCCTTAGTAGGGGTCCTCATCTTCCATATCCTCTTCAAAGAGCCACTTTAACTCCTCAAAGCTTCCTCCTCCTCATGCCCCTACACTTATCTCTGCATTCAAACCAGTGTCATTCCAGGACATAAACTGTGAAAAACGGGTGGATCATTTATTTTTCAACACTTTATATTTAAAGAAATGCTATTGGCTTTTAAACGTATGCTACATTTTAATATATCCCCACTTATTTATTAAACAAACATATACATACATTTAATTGAGGACACTACTACCAATTTGTACCAGTCAGGATAGGTCAGGTTTGACAGTAACAAACAAGCCCCAAGTCCTGGGGGCTAAAAGAACAAAGGTTTGCTTTCTGCTCAAGTGCTCCATCTAGTGTGGGTTGTGGGAGAGCTTGGTTTGTATTTATCACTCTAAGACTGCTCCATCTTGACAACTGTTTCCATGATTGCTGTGGTGGGGAAGGCAGGGCTCAGTCAAGCACTGCAGCTGAGTGCTTCAGCCTGGGAGCTACACACATCGTTTCTGCTCACCCTTCATTAGCTGCAGGCAAGCACTGGTTGTGCCTGACTTCATGGGAGTGTGGAAGTATCCTTCCTGTGTATATGAAATAGAAGAAATCCAGAACCAGTCCATGCAATGTAAGGTTCTACCACAAGCAATAAAAGTCAGTAAAATCTCAACACTGTGGCAGAAGCAGCTAATTGCTTAGTCAGTGTTCATTCTCTACTTCCTAATAGTACTCTTGTATGTCAATACCTACTGAAAAGTATCTAACTCTACAGATATCCTATTAGCTAAGGGGGGACATATGACCCAATTTTGGGTGTTTGGACAGAATCAGAAGTCACTAGGGGTGGGGCTTAAAGCAAAAAAATCTTTTTGGTGATCTGACAATGCTGGCTTGTGCCTTTGGCCTCTGTCCCTCCCCTGTCGTCCATCTTCTTCCTCCCATCTTGGACCCTGGACACGGTGGGAGCACGGCAGCTATCCTGTGATCCCAGCACGGGAGCCTCACCCTGAGGACGAGGTGGGGCAGGACTACTTATGGGGACTGGTCTTGGAGCTGGTGTTGAGCCGCTAGATCAGGTGTGGGCTTCTTCCCCCACATCACTGCAGACAAATAAGCCAGCACTGTTAGGTCCTCTGTTACTTGCAGACAAACCCAATCTAAATGATGCAAATAAAACATTTCTATTATCACATGCCATAAATAATGATGTATTCATACGGTATAATTCTGGGCATTTTAGAAATATTTACAAAAATTGTCACAATAACATCACCTTTCAGGTAGTTAAATGGCATATAACTTTCTATAATGAATTTAGAACAATTTTTCTACAGGAAAATGGAGGGAAAATAAAATATTATCTACATGTAAGACCCACTTTGGGGAATAAGTTGTATGCTTTGAACTTCTTGTAAAACCAATCTAACGAAATAATTTAAGACATTAAAGTTAGTTATTCAAACATTGATAGTGATAAATATAGCAGTTGTATCCATTCCTCCTCCAGGTAATCAAGACATTCTGGTTTTTTGATGTAAATTATTTTTTAAACATGCAGTTCATTTAGCAATACATGTATTGACAGCTGCACCTTCAAAAAAACTTAAAAAACCAGGGAACACAACATTAACTTGTTACTAAACTAAAAGAAACTTAGCTGAGATAGTGTTTCGGAAATCGCTAGGGATTTCTTTGAAAAGAAAACAAAAGCATTTACTGGGGCATAAAATTAAATTCATTATTTGGCAAATTTCTTGCTAAAATACCATGTCCACATGCATCTCTGTCCCAGCAATTCTGTTTTGTTGTGAATTATGTAGAACTTATTTTAATGTGTTTGCTTTACTTAAAAAAAGGAATGAATTGTAGTAATCTTTTCATCATGCTTGCCTCACCGGAGGGGAGCTCTTAGGAGAGCTGTTCCAGGTGTAAGAACCCCATCGGAATCCTTCCGCCTTTCTGAAACGCCCATGCAGGATCTTGAGGGCCTCTGGCCAGCGTTTTTTTTTTTTAATCTCCCCTATTCCTTTAAACTTTATTTATATGAATAAAAGAACCTGAGACAATTTAGCTCAATTTTAATATTTTCCAAGCATTATTTTGACCAGGTAGCCAGGTTTAAGTAATGAACATTGACAGTGTCCATTATATAACTACACTTGAAGTTATTAAGGACTTAACCATTTTCTAATGCTAGCCTATTTTCTACACTGCTTTTCACATATATGCCCATTAAAAAATGGAATGTCTGTTACATTGATTGGTTTGTGAGTGTTTCTAGAAAACTGCAGTATGTGTGAAGGCCAATTTCCATGCTGGCATTGCATGCATCCAAATATTAATGCACAGAGGCACAGAATTAGAGAAACAAGAGAGCATATTCAAACACTAGCATGCCCCATTTGCCTTTTGATTGCTTGTTTGCTTAGTACTTCTTAAAACAAAAAGAAAGAATTGAATTCAACGTTCAACTACCAAAGAAAGAGTAACAGCAGGGCACATACTCAGGGCTCAAATGAAATTGTAAGCACAGTAGACATTGGTATAACCTTATTATCCAAAACTCTTCTCAACCAGGGCCTTCCAAACAAATTGGTAACAATATGATTTATGTTGAAATATACGCAATAAATAACAATGTGTTCTTTGGGAATTTAAGAACTCAGACTATCCAAATTTGAATTCAGGTCTGTAGGAAGTGAGAAGCATGTACTAAGCAACTGTGCCACATTTCTGCTGCAGTTAGGTTATTTTGGACAATTATACCTAAACCATCCTTGGTTTCATCCAGCAAAATATATAGACTACAAACAGGAAAGCATTGCCAGCCAGTTAGGGGTTTAATAACGCGTGGTTTTTATTCTCTTGCTCTGAAAACTTGTATCAAAAAAAATTTAAATTAAGGAAAATAACTCAAGATTTATGGGCCTCATGTGCTTTAAAAAAGAAAAAAAAGTACCTACTAATTTGCTCAGATATAGCAGGCTTAATGGTTCCATATTTTGAAAAGCTGTTAAGAATGGTTTCTAACGCAGGAGAGGGAAAACATCCACTATCCCTTTTCAGAATTTAAATGGAGGGCAGAAACATTCTTTCCACCCAAAACCTATGGCAGCAGTTCAAATTTGACCAAGGTAAATGTAGATGGAGATGTTCTAAACACAGCTAGGACTCAGCAAGTCTAACACACTAAAATCATATGATTACATTTTAAATGAAAATGCACAAAAACCAATTAGAAATTTTGAGATTTTTTTCATTTGAAGGTAATCTTAATGCTGTTAAATTCACAAATGCTAATTTAAATACCCAATCCTATTTATCTAAAACACACATTGCAAACACACAAATTATCTATTCTCTCCACATGTCAGCGCCCATTCATACCATGGTTTGGAAATGGGGAGAATAGATTCCCCTTAAACTGCAAGTGCAGTTGTCTCTTTACAGTTAACTTTAGCAAAATTCATACAAAATAGTGATTAACAATGATCTTTACTTGTTAACTCACAAGGAAACACCTTCAAAACTGCAATTTGTTAAAGTTTCTGTACTAAAATGTAGAAAAACTGAACTAAACAAATAACAAAATGTTAAAAATTCCTTAATTTTTTATTTCTGGTACCACTACCACAATTTACAGGGCAATATACCTGATGTAATGAAAAGAAAAAGAAAAAGAAAAAGACAAAGCTACAACAGAAAGACCTCTGGAATGTACATCGAATTGACACCACATTGCATTAATCAATAGCTGTACTTCGTGCAAACTGTGGCTATGACAGTCCTGAACAAGAAGGGTTTCCTGTTTAAGCTGCAGTAACTTTTCTGACTATGGATCATTGTTTCTTCTGTGGCAGATTTCTACAATTCCTCTAATGCATTTGGAGCAACTGTCTCAAAGTAACCTGCAGCTTTCCTGACAACTCCTTGCTCTCTCTCCTTCTAAGAGTTGTAGCCCTTTTCTGCTGTTTTAAGAACCTCCTGCTACCATATCCACCATTTCCACCACCAGATCCATAACCACCACCATAGGGACTGCCTGAGCTTCTTCTACCAAAACTACCCCCGTTCATGGGTCCATGATTTGATTGCTGTTGTCCACTATAATTTCCAAAATCATTATAGTTCCCACCACCACCATAGTTCCCACCGCCAACATTTCCTCCTTTGTGGTAACCATCATATCCTCCACCACCTTGGTTTCCATATTCTGGTCCACCACCACCATAGGCCCCTCTACTACTATAAACAGGACCACCGCCATAGTTACCACCATTACCTCCAAATCCATTATATCCACATCACCTCCTCCATAACTACATCTCCTGCCCCCACCTCCACCACCATAGCCTCCTCTTCCACCAAAGTTTCCACCACAGCCAAAATTACCTCCACCACTTCCAAAGTTTCCTCCATGACCCATAAAATTGCCAGATCCACCTCCACGACCCCTCTGTGATCCAGCAGACTGCATCTCTTGTTTAGAAAGGGCCTTTTTCACATCACAATTATGCCCATTAATAGTGTGGTATTTCTGAACAACAATTTTATCAGCTGTATCATGATCATTAAAAGTTACAAAAGCAAATCCTCTCTTTTTTCCACTCTGCCTGTCTTCCATAACTTCTATGGTTTCAAT